CCAACCAGAAGCTTTGTAGTTTGGTCAAGAAGCAAGATGATAAATGTTATGAAGATGGCAGTACTAAGAATCAACAATAACAGTGGTAGCAGCATGATTTATTTTGAGCATGTTCAAGATGCTGGTCGCTGTTCTAAGAGTTTGACGTGCCCCAACAACTGTATTACCTAACAGTGGATCCCAGAGGGCTGAAGTTTGGGGGTCTGTTAGTTCTAACAATGTCTTGAATTGGGCTCCTCACTGGAGAATGATAGCTCTGAACTGAACCTGTTCTCTCAGGTTAGAAAATCTGACTCCATAAATCACAACTTAGGGGCATTATAGTCTTGTCAGAGAGAGTGGATACAGAGCAGGATCTAGAAACAAAAACAGCTCTAATGTATTCATCTGTTCTTTCAAAACACATCGGCTGACTCAAGATTTCTTGCATGTCTGGACAAATATGAAGCTCTCTTGGGGTCCATAAAAGGTGACAACCGTGTGAATTACCAAATTCACAAATACCTAGTCTGAATCTTGTCTCTTAAAATATCTCCACTTGCCTCCAAATGAGCATCCAGACACTCTGGCAGTCAGAAACACCAGATTTCCACATAATAATAATACCACTGCTATCCGTTACTACTGTTTACCAAGTACTCACCTTGGTCACCAGGAACTGTTCAAAGAGCTTTAGACGCACGATCTCACCGAGCAAGTGCAGTGATTCTGTCAGGTGGGTTCTATTATTACCTCCACTTCACAGATGACGATACTGAGGCTCACTGAAATCACTCCAGACCACAGAGCTAAGATGCACATTTGGAGCCAGTTCTTCCCAACTCTAAGACCTGCCTCATCTCCAAGCGTTTTGTCCTGCCTTGGGCTGTACATCCTGTAACACGATGGCAAGGACTCACATTGTTCGGATGCATCACTTGCATTCCAGAAGGATCTCTTAAAGCAAAATAGTCTTTAGAAGCAAATCTCAAGTAGTTTCTAATATTATTAGACAGCTTCAAGCTCTTGTAAAAATCATCCAGTACCTTTTAGAAGGATCAGCAAGCTACTTATTTCTGCAAGTGTCAAAGTAACTTTATTCACAATTAATATTTTCACTTCTTTTTTCTGTGCAACAGAAAAATGCTTTTCAATTTTTAGAAACCTTCCAAATTTAGAGAATGATATAACTCAGTATGCCGTGTGATGGTAATGGTTAGAAGAATGCAATCTTTAAGTATGCATTTTCGTCCACTTAAAATTGCTTATTCTAAATACGATTTTAAAATATGCTGCTAATAATTTCAATATAATTTTAGAGGATAATTCAGTGATGATTGGTTAAATAAGAATACCAAGCTAGATTTCAAAATCTAAAGTAATAAAAAAATCATCTTACATAAACCTTACTTTAATAATGGAATTACAGAATTTTTAGAACCAGATGGGCTATGAAAGCTAGTCTAGTCCAATCCTTTTGTTTTATAGCTGCAATTAAAGAGAAATAAACATAGCAAGTGCTTTAACAGTACAAGTTCAGAGTCAGACCCAAGTTCACATCCCTGCTCTGCCACTTACAAACTCTGAGACTTCATCTGTCATCCACAGCCACAGAGCCAGTTCTTCAAAGTGCCCTGCTGAGAAAGCAGGACTGCTGTAAAATGAGAATTCGAGTAAAGGACTCCCCTCTAAAACAGGTGTATATTCATTCATTCATTCATTCATTCATGTGACAAATATTTACTGAGTACACACTAGTTTTGTGGCCTTGAGCAAGTTATTTAATTGCTTTGTGCCTTAGTTTCCTGAGCTGTAAAGCAGGTATTGTTGCAAGGATTAAACGAGTGAATGCAGATAGGATGTGTGGGATGGTTCCTGGCATACTGGAAAGGTGCAATAATGTTGAATATCACTATCTTTCTCCTACTGCTACTACATTCTATATTATTAATTTGGGAGCCTATATAATATTTTTCTCCTAAATACTAAAGCATCTCATTTGCATAGAGCTAATCTCTCACTCTATTGCTCAATCCTGAGGGTGAAGCCATTTGGAAACTTCCTCAGCAGGATTCTATTTTGACAGTGTTATCCGTCACGCATAAATAGAAAACTGTCCCACCAGCATTTGCCCACATACTTTGTGTTTTTCCTTCAGATATCTTTGAAGAGACCCAGGTTTTTCACCTGGCCTCCCAGGTAACAAATGATGAGTTTGTGAGTATGTGCAGAAGTTGGCTGGGATTCCAGAGACAAGACTATCCCCATAGGACAGAGCAAAGCTAACTGGTCCTTCAGGGGGTCAAACCTGACGTGTAGTTCTCCTTGCAAAGAACCATAATCAGCTGAAGCACAAGAGGAGAAATCCAATTAATTGCCACTCCAGCGTCTTTCAGTGGTTCTATCATGGTTGGATGAGTTAATATAGATTCCATTAGTGTCTTGGAAACTCTCAGGTCATGGCTGAAGTCCTATATTATTCTCGCTCATGATCTTGGAAATCACAGAATTATGAAGATGAAAAGAACCTTGAACAGTCAGGCAGCTTCTCAGTCTTCCTTCTCACAAGAAAACATTACACCATCCCAGAGAAGTGAGAAGTAGTTACCTCTTTAAGATCTTGAGTGAAGGCTCTCCCCCAAACCCATTTTTAATGTGCCAATCTTATTATTAAAAGCAAAAACATAAACTTCTCAATATGGAATCTGCCTTCCCTGTGGTGTGTGTGTGTGTGTGTGTGCGCGCTTGCGTGTGTGTATGTATATATTGGTCATCATTCTCTGGGAGGAAATTTAAAATATCCCCGCCAAAGAAAAAACCAAAAAGCAAACAAAACCAAAACACATGCTACTATTGCGTCTCTTTCCTAAGCAGAACATCCTCAATTCTGTCCACATGTTCTGGGTTTTCATTTTCTTACCCTAGCATCATTCTCCTATGAACTTTTCTTCCCAGCTTGTCACAAGTATTTTTTTAAGTTTCTAAAGTCAGCTTAAAATAAAATATTAGAAGGAAAGTGTGATTAGTCCTTAGGTGTCTGGGAAACCCAGTTTAAGTTTCTCTGCATGATACATTTTAATTGATGCATCCCAGATCCTTGCTCTCTCTGGTAACCCAAGAGCTAGAATGCTGAGTCACTGTCATATTATTACCTGATCTGACTCCATGGCTCAGGAAGCAGCCCTGGTGTGAACGGGAAAGGCAATGGGTATGAGAGAGGCAGGGAGGCTGGTCTTATCCCAGGTCCGGTGTTTCCCTAAAGGTGTGACCTTAGGCAAATTGAAATTGGGCTAGGAAGAGGAGCCCTGAAACCTCTCTTTTACAGCTAAACCTTAGAGAATTATTAAGTGACTTGTCCAAGGTCACACTGAATTTCTCCATGGCTCTGATCCCTTAGTCACTGAAAAAAGGGAGAAGGAATGACAATGTTGTCTCAGAATGTTGCCGGTCAAATGAGATACACATTTAAGGACTGCAAAATTTGAAGTTCTATAAAACATGAGGCATTACTCGCTTTGTCAGCTCAGCTACATCTTCTCTTGATGCAGCTTGTACAGTCCTATGTTTCTTGCCACTGACATTCCTTCTGTTTCCAGCCTCCTCTCCTGATAAGTCAAGACATTCTGAATTCTTATGGAGTCCTACAAAGAATGAACAACTCCATCCCCAGTGTAGAGTTCTTGACAGACTTAAGGTGTCTACCCTCTCTCAACCAACCATCCAACTCACTTGTGTTCAATGAGGTTAGATCTAAAATTATCTCCTGCCAAGCATGGGTGTTCCTGGTGATAGCCTGTCTTGGGAATTAACCAGAAGGTTTCATAAAGCCTTTGCAGGCAGCCAAAATCTAAATGAAAGCTCCTTCTTCTGTACTTCTGTAGCTCACACTTTCACCACCACCGCATGCTTTATTGCACTTGGCCAGTCCCCTCTCCATGACCTTCACTGGACTTCAACTCACCAAGGGCAGAGCCGTGTCCGCCAGAGCAGCGTTCCTCAACCTTGGCATGACTGACTCGTGGAGCAGATGCTTCTGTTGTCAGGGGACTGTCTGCGCATTTTAGAATGTTTAACATCATGCCTGGCTTCTAGCCGGTAGCATCCTCCACCCCCAGCTGTGACAATAACTGACAAAAAATGTCTCCAAATACTGTCAGATGCCTAGGGGGCAAAATCACCCCCACCTGAAAACCTCTGTGCTAGACCTAGCCGAGTGCCTTTCTGTGCTGGGCACTCAATAAACACTTGTAGGTGAATACATGACTGATGGTGACAAAATGCTTATGACAGAGTTAGTGTATAAGCTGCAGAAAAATCAACTGATTTCTTTTGATTTTGGCACCTCCTATAAAGCTTGGCACATGGGTTGTGCCCAGTATATATTTACCGGGTGAACAAGTGTTCTATGATCATAAGCAGCTTTCTGTATCCCAGGTAGAATTCTTTCCCTCAGGCGAGTCCAGGTGAGGTGGTGGGGAATTGTCATAATAGGGGGAGAACATTTTTAAAAGAACAAAACTGTTCTTAGCTGTAGGATTAGGAACCAGAAAAATCACCTTGCTGTGTCTGCCAGACCTTTAGCTTTCCATTCAATCACGGCATATAGAGCAAAAATCAAATTCTTTGCAGGGGTAATACTAGAAACATCTTCCAGTGTTCTTGGGTCCTTGGATAGGAACGCACAATGCCAGGAGGGCTGCAGGACACCCAGAAGGTCACACACTCAGTCATTAGTGTCAGATCTGGGAAATGAGCCTGCGCCTTCCTGACTCCCTGTACAGTACTTGATTACAGTGATTATTATGGATGCAAATTAAGCTTTATTACTATTGTGAAATAACAATGCAGGTTAATGATATTGTTTATTGCTATGCTAACATTTTTTCTAGAGGGGAAAATTATAGGCATGAAACCAATTAAGCAACCTTTCTTTCTTTGTAAAGCTTTTTTAGTTTTCCTAAATGAAGATTCTCTCTTTGTGCTCACTGCTTCATAGTGCAAACTGATTTTTTGTCTCCTAGGTCTTACTGAGATGGATGCTACTACTGGTGTGGTCCTTTTCCCTGTATGAATCAAAAATGACTGCGCTGATACATAACTGCACAAAGGGCAGTCATAATAAGAGGAGCAAATATTTTGAAATGAAGACCTAACGGACATTGTCCTGTAGAGGTAAGGCATTGTTGTAAATGCTTCCCTTGGAAATCTTTGTTAGTCAAAGGCTTGCATTCGCCTGTTCCTGGACCGCACTGTAGGATGGCTCTCCTCCCATGACTGAAATGGTGGCTCCAAAAAATGATAACAGATTAACTCACTTATTCCTCAGACTTTACATAGTTGTCCTTTACTCCCAGGTCTCCATAATATTTGCCCCAAAAACCTTTCAAGTGGAAGGATGTCATGTCACACGTATATTGTTAATGTAACTATGGTAACCAGAAAATGCCACCAGTGTGCCTGTTTCATACACAAATGAGGGGACAGCTGTGGAGTCCACATGTCTGCCAGTGGCATAATAGATGTGAGCCAGGATGGCCTGGGTCAGAAAATTACAACTCATTTATATTAATCAGAGCTTTCAAGTAACATTTCAACCTCTGAGCTATGAAGAGTGTACACGGAAGGCAACAAGCCACCGTAAAAGCAGTTTTTACTCCACAGTTTTTAGAACTAAATGTTGTAAGTAAAGGCAGCAGCATCCTTGGAGGATGCCAAGTCAGAGTTGACGGACTGCCAGTGTGTGTCACTGCAAGTTTAAGCCGAGTTTCTTTGCCTCTTGGGGATGATTTGCAGTGTGTTAAGTACAATAGTTCCATTCAAGTTCAGTCTTTGTGTTAGTTATGGTATTGGGGGCAAAGCTTCCACAAACCTTTTAGCAGTCTCATTGATTATGGTCATTGGTCCTTCCAGCCCTACTCCCCCAAGCAGGTCCTGATACAGATGAGGAAACTGAGGGTTGGTGGGATTAAGAAACTGACCTAGGATCACCTGAGTATGACTAGATAGCTTACTTAACAACCTAGTAACTGATAAAACTGCTAATATCCTACCTTTGTTAGACCTTTTGAAAACATTCAAGAAGTAAAAAAATAATATGTAAGCCTGCATATTGTTTCTTTAAAAAAACACTATCACATAAAATGGCATATATTTTAATTATTAAATAGTATGCTTAACACGTCTATAGGGTGTCCATGAAGTCTGGAAATATATACTATATTATCTTCTCATGTATTGTAATTGTAATGTCAGTAAACCACTTATTATACATTTTGCTATGTTTTGAGACATGGATGCTACCTACATCCACTGGTGTATCCATAAAGTAGGTGAATGGTACTATACTAAAACCAGAAAATTTAAAAAGCAAACTTCATTTAAGAAGATTTGTAGAACGAATGGTTTCCTCAGTCACTCAAGTACTGAATATTACTTATAAGGTTTAACTTTTGACTCTATTCTGCACTTTAAGGCAAGAGAGAATACATGTTTTCCTTACTTCATCTATATAATTATAATTTCATCTTGAATAAAATATTAATCAAAGCTCTATTCATGAGTTAAAGATACTTCCATTGTTCCCAGAAACCAAAATACGATTACAATTCTAAAACAGAATTTGCTTTATCTCCAGATTGCCTTAACCCAAAATAGATGTTCAGCATAATAATTTTTTAAAACTAAATACAAAATTTGAGCAACCTTACATTAGTGCACAAGTGAATCATTCAAAGAACTATTATTTTGTAGCCTAAAAATAAATTATAAGAAAGCATTATGAAAGTCTAGTAAAAAATGACACCCAAGTCCTATAATTTACCATATTTTATTCATGGCTTATGGCTTATTTATGGTGGCATAAAAGGCCCACCATTCTGTTTATTTATCACCAACTGGCTTGGGAAGTAGCAATATAATTCTGTAGAGGCAGGTTCTCTTTAGTACCTGCTGGGTTTGTCCCCATGAGTCTCACTGCTTTAGAATATGTGCTAATTGTTCTAACAGTTCAGGTCAAGAAGCTCGCCTTAGCTGGGTCTAACCAGAGAGAGATCAGTGGTTGGCTTTTCCCTTGCTTTTCGGGAATTTCAGACACTGCCCAGAACTACCTATGTTATTGTTCAGAACCAGAGTCCACAGTTGGATCTGGTCTAAGATTTTATTTAGCAGAATGATCCTTTTCTAATAACAAGTACTTTATTACTTTTATTTACCAAGGAAGGGGCCCTATCTTCCCTTTCATTAGACTTGCAGAATAAAGACTTCACACAGGCAGGATAATAGCCAGAGATAAATTCTCAATGTGAGGCTTTGGTCATTTTAAAGTTACCATGTTGTTTCAAAAATATCTAGATGATAACTTCACAATAAAATGGCTTATTGCCTAGTTTTAAAATGTCAACTGCATTTTATAGTTAGCCCTCAAGTCCATAATAAAGACAGAATCCTGGGCTTAAGTCATGTAAGAGTTTATTATAATGATTTGTTACTTTCTGACTTCTGGATAGCTCTAAGACAGAAAATGTAATCTTGGCTATACCATTTTCTTACTTAAATTTGACTCAATACCTTTTTCCCCTCCTGGGAAAATACTGCCTTATGTGTAAAAAGCCACTGAACCAGCAAAAATAACTTAAGGAAACATGTAAAATAGCAGGCTAACATCTGTTACCCATCCCCCAACCCCCCCACACTGAGCCTCAAAACAATGTTCTTTTTTTTTTTTTGGTTGTATTTTAATGTCCCTTTC